ATAGCATCGGGGGGGGGGTGCTAAATCCGCCCGCGCCATTCTTCAGTTTTACGCGCTAATGCTAATACATCGCCACCACCATCGTCCCACACCCCTAAGCCGCCCAGCGCGGACGCATAGCGCGGCGTGGGGTCCCGATAAACATACGTCTTTCCGACCACTTCATCCAGTCAAGCGACGCAGCTATGCTGGCCGGTCGGCCCACGACCGCGCGGCGCGACAACGTGGCAACGCTGCCGGCCGCATAAATCAGCGAGATTCGAAGCGCGCCGTTTAATGGGCCCCATGCGAATGGTTGCGCGGAGGCGGCGCGCGCGGAAGTGGGGCGGTGGGAGGTTGGGTCGTAAGCGGGGCGGAGAAGCGGGCGGTGGGGCGCGGCGTGAGGCGCGGCGGGGGCGCGGCGGGGCAGGCTGGGGGGGGAGCAGCGTGGAATAGTTCGTAGGCGTGTGCGTTGTTCTGCGTTCTCTCTCTTGGGAGGGTTTTACTGCAATACGATGTTAACGGCTGAACGGGACAAAGACGTGAAATGTAATGTTTGCGAAATGAGGAATTGCCTTGCTTTAGCTATTAAGAAGGCTTTTTCTTTTAAAAACCCCGGTTTCGATGATAGATTGTATGAAAGTACAAAAGCAAATATTGTGAGGTATGAAATCGTAACTCTCTAGAAACAGTTTTACTGTTGTTCCTTTTTATTTTGTTTGCAAAACAGCTCATAATGAGATATTATTTCTGGTTCAGTATGTTTAGAGTAATAGTGGCCATTTTAAATACCTATAATGAAATGTAAAAGGATTTGAAACTAAAGCAATTAATAAAAAAAGAATAAGTTCAGTTTCAGTAGTTCTTGTTGTTATTTGGCCTGTCGTGACAGTTAAATGAAAAATATATTAAAAACATTTACCCCAATGAGATATTAATATGTTCGTTTGGAAAATACTTTTCCAAAAATATTAATTTTAGAACCTATACCGAAGTTTATTAAAACCGATGAGATTAACATTTTATTGTTAATATATTTTTGTATAATAAGAAAAAATATTAATATTTTCAGGACAAAGAAAATTGTGCTTCACTTAATATACGGAATTCGTAATTGTGAAGCCATTGTGGATTAAAGAATCCTTTTATATGAGTCTTTATATTAATTTGGTACAAAACTCTGAGATCTGATTTTTTCGGGCTTCTTATGGACCCGATTATCCCTGGCTCTAGCCCTAACCTTATTAATTACTGTGGTCGAACCAAGTAATCACCGCCAGTGTTGACATATTCGGGGAAAATATTAGAATTGAAAACAAGCCAGAATTAGGAAAGGACTTTGCAGCAAAACCAAGTAAAAACTTTTTCCCAATATTAAATTTAGTCAGAAAAAGATTTTATTTGTACTTTACCCTAGGGAATGGGACTTACATTGCGGATTGGTCTGCTGGTCCGAGGAAGCAAAGATTAAAAACGTTTTCCGTTTTAGGAAAAACAGCGGAGAAAAGATATGGACTGGGAAGGCTTGGCTTTGAAGGCTTTTGCTCCAACGAGCAGTATGGCCAGATTAGCGTTCACTCGATTGCAGGGGGGCTCGGAATAAAAGGAGGCTGCGCGGCAGAGCGGGCGAAATCGAAAGGAGCAACAAAGAGCGAGAGGCGGGAAGATCGCGTACTGGGGCAGTAGAGAACGAGACGAACATCCGAAAATCTCTCTCCTCCCTTCCCCCTCCCCGCCCCTCTCGCTGCGCGCTCTATCACTGCGGCTTCTCCTTGCTCCCGCCGAGGGCTCGGGAACTGCCTCGGTGCATCCGCGGGGGGCGTCCAGGCGACGCTCTCCGGCTATATAAGGCGTTTAACGTCGCTACAAAATGCAAAGTGTTTTCGAGATTGTTGTAATGATGTCTTAAAGCGCGGTGTAACTTCTGGCTAAGAATCAATTTCACCTGCTCTTTTTTTACACGTTGATGGTGGAACATTTTCGTAGTGTACGAAAGTATATATATTTTTACATTCATCACTCTTACGTTTCGTCTTTTTAGTTTTTTTAAATATTAAAATAGTAATTTTGCATTTGTTTTGTTTCAGGTAAGCAGAATCACTTTTACGAGCAACTACATGGAAGTACGTTTCGTACTTGGAATTAACTTCATTAAAGGTAATTGAAGAAAATAAGTTTGCAATGCTGTGCATGCAATGTTATAGAGAGTATAATTGAGTTACTTGTTTAATAAATGTGAGTGGTGTATTAATTCTGAAATCAGACGAGTGTTCAAATGGAATATTTATTACTTAATTCTTTTTCTTCCATAACTGTTATAAATATAAGAAGAACTAACCCCAACACTTCGCTTTACCAACAATTTGATTCATGGAACATCTTTTATAACCCCGCGCGGTTCTCGCACTCGAGCACGATAACGTATGAGATATTCAGAAGCGTAAAAGTTTTATGGTCCGCTACCGGTCTCTACCGCTCGCGACCGAGTTGAACTACCCCGTCACGGACCCCGACTACTTTTCTCGGAGGCACGTGGTGGTGACTCCAGCGGCGCCCTTGCAGTCTTTTTGCTTCGCCAAAGTTGCCCTCCCCCCTCGCGCGTGCCCTCGCCCTTCCCGGCCGGGGTCGGGACTGCTTAGCGCGTCGTAGCTTGGCCCGTCACGAAAGCCAGGGAGTGAAGTGGCGCCGCGACAAAGTTTGGAAGCTGGCTCATTGCGTCGAGGGACGAGGCAGATAGCTCAGTCAATTTGCATCGTGAATTTCCGTGTTTTTTGTTTTTTTGCTGGGAAAATTAAAATCGCTTAGTATTTTGAAACAATTGTTAGTGATTAAAGAGAAGTAAATACAAACGTAATATTAAATATCAGTCTCGTGTCTATCGTCCTACATGTCATGCAATTTTTATTTATCTCGAATATTTTAGCAAATTTTGTTTATAAGCGTTCTTACAACTCATTAGTATTTGAGTTTATGTTTCAATTATATATACATTTTGTGCGTCGAATATTGAAAAATGTAGACGTAGCGTGAGTGTAGCTAATCCATAGTCATAGCGTTTGTCAACAGTATCTACAATTCATTTACGCAACTACTGTTGAACTTTCCGAAACGTTATACTAAGGTTGTTGTGGAATATTATAAGTAATGAATTTTCACTTGAAAATGAATAATGAATTCTAGTCAGACTGTGTGTTCTTTCATGTAATAGGTAATTATTTTGTATTATTAAATATTAGCAAAATACCTGGTGATGTCCGGTTGTTTTATAGTATCCAATTCTTATGAAAAAGATAAAAGGTCATTTTTTTGTAAACATAGGTGTTTAAGATTATTATTTTCAATGTAACTGGTTCAAATTTTAATAGAATGCTATAATATACTTTCGTTTTACAGTACATTACTATCACTATACATTAAACATTATTTCATCGTACCCACTGATACTGGCCTCTAGCGCATTTATTACGTGCCATTTCAACTGCACCGCTACGGGCCTCTGACGGAATATATTAGAAATCAGGGTATAAAATACCAGTTCTTCCGAACTGCCACTGACCTTTGGCAGAATATATTAGGAACTAAACTTCCCTAAGTGAGAGAAAAAAATATCGTGGTGCACCTACCAACATACTATTTAAATTATTTATTTTCTGCATTTGCGTTTTATTAATCTTCACCGAACTATGCAAGAACACTGCGACAATCCTGTAGAAGAGTCTGTAAAACATTTACATTTATTTACACACTACTTTTGTGGTATCAATGTCGGTTACAAATCGTTGAATTCTCTTTTATAACTACAGATGTTCCTGTTGTAGATATTCATTGTTATCCTTCTGCAAGCGATTTTGTAAGTAGGTCATGAAAGATTATGCTACACGTTTACAGAACACGGAATAGCGGGCGTATGATTTACGAAAAGTAAATTTTCGCTGCAGTCTATAACGCCGAATTCCAATTGGATAGGTCATTTCGAAAACAACATAACTCCGTCAGGTGTTCATTACATGCAAGTTATTGGAAAATGTTTCATCTCGAAAGATATTGCATTTTTCAAAGTAAACTGAAGTACATACTTTCTTAGATTATCAAGTAACGAAAAGTTAAGTGTGACATTTTCGTATGTAACAAATATAAAAACGAATTGTGAATCTAAAGATACGCAAGAAGTTTTCGTAAAGGTTGAAGAAGAATTTCCAATATACGGAAATCTTCAATGTTTTGTAAAGGTACTGGACTTATACTACCAGTGTTAAAATTTACTTGTAGAAATATAATCCAGAGTTAACTAAATTATTATATAGAGTCGTTACTGTTTTTAGTTCGTCAGTGTCGCAAACATAAGCAGAGATACAGATGGAAATTTTTCCAGCAATCTTGAAAAAAATCTTAGTTGTCTACGCACGAATATGTTAATTGTTTTGTCATGTTATTAGGCGACAATATAAATTAACATTTTTTTCATTTTCTGTTTTCAATGAAAAGTAGGTAAAGGATATCTGCATTAAAATAATCATAGGGTCTGTAACTTAATTTTTCTGGTAGTAATTTTCAAGGATCACGAAATGTTAGGTTGCGTGCCACTGCACATTTGAGTGCCTAAATCATTTTCTCCACCGGTAGTGATCCCGGCCGAAATTAGAGCAGTAAGTAATAAGCTGGTGTTGAAAAATATTTGCAACCAACTCCTAGTTACTTCCTCAATAAATCAAAATTATCATTGATACACAAAGCAATTGTGTAATGAGATAAATATCTAATACCTCTGCATCTGTACCAGGACACTCTTTAAGAAACTACATTTCAAATAGAAAAATAAAAATACTAGTCAGAAAAACAAATTCGTGGTCAAATTTTTCAGGCCCTTCACAGTCCATGCACAGACTTCTCGACCTCTGTAAAGTGGATAAACAAGTGGAGATGTTTATGCTGAAACTAAGACTTTCATGTTAGTCATTCAAGGTGAAGTTATTCTCATTCGAAACTACAGAAAACAAGTCCAAAAAGATCTCAAGGTCCAATCTGATAAATGCGTAACGTGTGGACGGAAATAAATATATATAATTTCAAAATGTGCAACCCACACGCACACACACATTACACAAAGCGCCATAACCTGATCGCTTCCACTATACACCAAAAAATTGCAACCAACCATAAATTTAGTGATTATCATTCCTCTTACTACATATACAAACCTGAGCCTGTGTTGGAAAATGAAAAGGTCAGAATTTATTTCGATCGCACAATTTTGACGCACAAGACTCTAGAACATAACAGGTCAGACATTGTGATAACACTAAAGTTGCCGAAACTACTTTTCTCAATATTAATCCATGCATTAATTCAATCATGCAATAAATAATCCATTCAGGCATATAGGTCAATCAA